CCCCCTCATTTCTGCCTTACGAGTGGAGATCTACACCTGTAGCTGAAGTGGAAGAACAGCTTATTAATCGGGTTGAGATCATTCAGTTCCTCAAGGCCCATCTGCATCGGTCCCAGAAAATGATAAGGCAAGATGTGATAAGAAGCGCTGGATGGTTGAATTCAAAGTTGGAGATTCTATCTACCATAAACTTCAACCCTATAGGAAAACATCTTTGGCCAGGAGAGCCTAGCAAAAGTTCGCCCCTCGATGCTATGGGCCTTATACTATCCTTGAGCGCATTGGCGCTGTTTCATACAAACTAGACCTACCAGCCACTACCTGGTTGCACCTAGCGTTTCATGTTATTTGCTGAAGCAGAACCTAAACCTAACAATTGCCACTAGCCCACTCTTGACCATGGTTTAAAATGTCCTTAATTTCCCTAATATTTCCATTTCCATGGGTAGCGACACAAAATTTTACCAGGACCAACATATTCTTCAATGAACACTACCGACGCTATGTGGAGTACAAGAGATAGTTTCCACAACATATTTCCATTTCCACTTCCATGTGTAGTAGTATGAAAGTTTACTAGAATCACTCCCTAGTAAACACTACCAACACTATCTAGACTATAAGAGATAGTATTATAACACGAGTTGGTGATTATGTTGTAAATATGTAGAGTAACAATTATATTGCCTGCCTAACTTATACGATTACCACTTTCAGCTAGTTCAATATTCATTTCAAACATGAAGTTAAATATTAGCTTTTATTTGTGTAATAGATTATTTGGTTGATCTATTACAACCTTTTACATTTTCTCTGAGTTTAAATTTTGCTTTAACTCATTGTATCATGAAGCTTTGAATCTTAAGGTTTACAAGGCAACTTTAGAATGTGTTCTTTTATCTATAACCTAAGTTTCTTAGATTTGTTTAATGATTTGGAACAAGATAATAATTTTAAAAGTCATGCCTACGCTTCTTTTATCATTTCATAAAATATAATTCTATATTTTGCATAGTTCACAATGTTTCCACCATGTCTAATAATTTTTACAATATTTCCGACATGTTTCATATATTTGGATGACCAACATTTCCACCAACATCAACATCTTAAACCTTTTTCTTGTCTGATTTCAATGAAGGAGAGCTTCGAGCTAAACCAAAGGAGGTAATTGACTAGCAATGGGTAAACACTTTGCTAAATAGGCTAAGGTGATCTGGACCAATTTACCCAGAGAAGAAGCTACTTGGGAGGACTATTCCACTCTGAGGCAGCAATTTCTTGATCTCAACCTTGAGGACAAGGTTGGTTCCAAGGAGGGGTGAGCTGATAGGATCCCAAGCCCACCAGCCCAAGAAGCACATCAAGGAGAGGGATCACACCCCACATCGTGAAGCCTAGTGATAGGAATCGATCAGCACCCTTGAAGACTTATTTTAGAAAGAAGAAGGCCTTACAACATGCCCTGATATGGCATAGTGATGGTGCTTGGGGTTTGGACCAAATTGAACACCAAGGGGTATTTTTGCCATTTTACAATTTTCTATAGGGTCCAATAATAGGGTTTGATTGTCTATTTATAGTTTGTTCATGTTTAAAATTTCAGTCATTGCATAAGTAGGATTAGAGTTATTGAGTCTTCTTTGAATTGAAATAGGATATGACAACTTGGTTTAAATCCTACTAGGATTATTGAGTCTAAAAGTTTGACTCTTAAGACTATTATGAGTCTAATAGTTTGACTCCTAACACTATAATGAGTCTAACAGTTTGACTCCTAGGATTATTACGAGTTTAGAGTCTATAGATATGTATGGACGTTTTACACAAAAGGTAATGAAGTTTATTGAGTTTTCTTCAGCTTATGCTTACTATGGTGGGTGGTTCCCATGCCCTAGAGTGATTCTAGGCACCCTGTGAGTGATTCCAAACATTTTCTCTCCTATTTCTCTCCCTATTTTCTCTCTTATTCCTTCAGGAAGCCATTACAGCCATCAACAACCATAAAATTCTGATAAAAGAAGACCAGTCAACATTCTCTAAGGACTAAAACTAAGCTGGTCTTACATCAATTTSGTATCAGATTTAATGGTTTATTCACTATGTTCTCACAAAGTGACCAATTCTATAGGCCTAGGTATCTTCTAAACAATCTTATAGGTGTAGAATCAATGATAATTGGGTTTCTGAACCATATGAAGGGTCTTTGGTTGATTCATTTGAGAAGATGGTGGAAGAAAACAGATCTAATAATGTTGACTATGGGAGTAAGGTTTTCAAACATTTTAGAAGAGAAAGGGAAATACCAGATTTCAAAGGAGGTAATGATCTGCAAGCATTCTTTGATTGGTTTGTTGAACTACAAGAATATTTTGATTGGCATGATATGCTTGACAAACAAAGGATTATATTTGCGTGCATGAAGCTGACAAGTTATGCTGAAGTATGGTGGAGAACTCTTGAGCAATGACTAGAAAATAGATGCAATGATCCAATTAGTACATGGGTAGAAATGAAGAGGTTTTTGCTAGAAAAATACATCCAATTGGACTTCCATGATGATCTATATATGAGTTGACTTATTTCAAGCAAAAGAAGAAGCAACAGTTTACAACGAAGGACTTGAAGSCACTGGGAAGAAGGTAAAATGTTGAAAAGAAAGTAGATGATTCCTTGCATGTTGATGCCTATCCAAGAGTTGGAGTTGAGGATGAAGCTAAAGAAGTTGTAGATATTAAAAATCAAGCGGGTGCAATCCAAGAAAAAAACAGAAATTCTTGGAGTTTCCAACACCCCTGATGAGCTTGAGGTTAATGATCAAGAAGAAATGGAAGTGGAGAAAGTTAAAGATATTCAGGTGCAAGATACAAATGTGCTGATTGTAGTAGATCCTAGTACAGAAGTGACTTTACGTTACAAGTTCAACTAGAACTAATTCAAAAGTTACAACATGACAGCAGAAAGTTCCACCAACATCAACAATGGAAGGAGTCCTAGAATTTGTTGAAGAACCAAGGATAGAAAAACACATAGAGATGGCGATTCCTAAGCTAGAAGTTGAAGGAAAAATTCCAAATGTTGCAGCTGAGAATTTGGATAAGCAAGGGCAAGATTCATCACAAAGGTTGGTTGATGAATTAAGTGTTCAAGAAACTAATGTTATTGATGATTTAACAAAGATGGTTTTCCTAAAGGTGTGTATAAGAAGCTCCACTCAAAGAGTGCAGGACCTTACAAAATCATCAAGACGATAAGTTCTAATGCCTATGTTCTATAGTTGCTAGATGACATGGGAATTACTCCTATCTTCAACGTTGAGGACTTAACTCCTTATCATGGACATGTGGATTCTTTAAAGACTCCTAGACCTAAGTTGCCAACTATTGCAGCTCCAAATGATCCAAAGGATGTTTTAGATGAGGAAATAATATCTATTGCTATGGGAGGGTATCAAAACTTCCATCATCTCAACCTAGATCTTTATGAAAGGTACCATGCTTGTAACTCATCAGGGTTGAGTTCTTTCAAGTTGGGGAGAGATGATAGGAATCGATCAACACCCTTTAAGACTTACTTTAGAAAGAACGCCTTACAACAGGTCCTGATATGGCATTGTGAAGATATATCTTGATGTACATTATTAGAGTAGTCCTTGTTGTCCAATATCGTATTCTTATTATTTTATTTGTTCTTTTTATCTTTCAGCCCTGTAAGGGCATTCTTGTAACTGTACATATCATTCCTGTAAAGATGAATGGACAGAACTATGGGATGTGGAAGTTCCACTTCGACTTTTATGTTGAAGGAAAGGGCTTAGAAGGATATCTAAATGGAACGGTCACCAAACCAACTGAGACCGAGGCCAAAACTTTACAACAATGGAAGTTGGATAATGGTAAACTTGTTTCTTGGATTCTGAGTTCTATTGATTATCGTAAATCTGTACCCATGAGGAGAATGAAAATAGCATATGAGATGTACATGTATCTAGAAAAAGTCTATCAACAGTCCAACGTATCTAAACAATATCAGATAGAATCAGAAATATTTTCTTACAGCCAAGGAGATAAGAGGATACAGGAGTATTAGTCTGGCTTTCTTGATTTATGGGCTAAAAATGAGATTGTTCACATTGAACCCTTGGATCCGGTAGAGTGTGGGAAATATCTTCAGAAGCACTTTGAGAAGAGAAAGGTRACTCAGTTCTTGATGAGACTTAGACTTGAATATGAGATAATCRGGTCCAACATTCTGAGTAGGGGAACACTTCCAGATATGGATTCTATTTTAGGGGAACTTCTGAGGGAAGAGACTAGACTTCTCACTGTAGTCGGGTTTGATGGGAAGATGGCTGAAGTTGGGGCTGAAACAACCTTTGTTGCTCATG